GAACAGGTAGATAACTCTCGAGGGAGAGCGACCTGTCGATGTTGTATTCGAGTTGACACCGGAGGCAGCGTTCGCATAAATGCAGACAGTCGTTGGACGTAGTCTGATTTAGCGAAATTAGGTCTGCTCCGTGGTGTGAAGAATTCCCCGGGCAGACGCAATGTCGTGCCGTATACAAGTTCAGCGGCGGAACATTGGATATCTGCCTTTAAGCTCGTTCTGATACCTAAAAGAACGAGCGGTAAGGTTTCGTACCAGTCGTCGTTTTCGTGTGCTCGAAGAGCACTTTTAAGTTGCCGGTGAAACCTTTCAACTAAACCGTTTGAAGCTGGATGGTAGGCGGTAGTGCGTATTCGTTCCGTACCAAGCAGCCGAGTAAGTGAGGAGAATAGTGCGGACTCAAATTGTTGTCCTCGGTCAGTCGTGACAGTCGAGGGACAACCATATAGAGCTATCCATCGTTCTACGAAGCGGTGAGCAACTGTCTCCGCCGTGATAGACGTGATGGGTATAGCTTCGGGCCATCTGGTGAAGCGGTCGATGCACGTGAGTATGTGATCATACCCGTGCGATGGTGGCAGTGGTCCTACAATGTCTAAGTGAACGTGATCGAAGCGAGCATCAGGCGTAGCGAATGTACCGAGGGGGGCGGCTACGTGCCTGTGCACTTTTGATCGTTGACATTGTAAGCATTGCTTAGCCCACATACGAACATCTTTATTCATGGACGGCCAGACGTATCGTGCAGCGATGAGGCGTAATGTAGCTGCGATACCTGGGTGAGATAATCCATGCAGGGCATCGAAAACGAGACGGCGATAAGCAGAGGGTACGATGGGTCGAGGAAGACCGGTAGAAGTATCACATAGAATGGTGCCAGAAGTCGTGGCTAGAGGTACTTCCTGATACTGAAGGGACGTAGAGTGTGGTGCTTTTGTACAGCTGGGATCGTTTGCTTGGGCAGCGGCCATAGCAGGAAGATCGAGCACCGGCAGGGTAACTGCATTCATTTGGATTCGTGATAGAGCATCGGCAACACAGTTCGACTTGCCTTGGATGTGACGAAGGTCTGTCGTGAACTGGGAGATATAGTCCAAATGTCTGCACTCTCGTGGTGAGTAGCGGTCAGACTTGGTATGCAAAGCATACGTTAAGGGCTTATGGTCGGTGAATAAAATGAATCGACGTCCTTCTACTGCGTGCCGAAAATGTTTGATGGCGCAGTAGGCTGCTAGCAGCTCGCGACCAAAAGCGCTATATCTCGTCTCCGTGGTAGTAAGGCGTCGTGAGAAAAACTCGAGAGGTTGCCAACTACCGGAGATGTTTTGTTGCATGACTGCTCCTATAGCAACATCGGATGCATCAACCGCTATACTAAGCGTGGCTGATGGATCGGGATGGGCGAGAAGAGTGGCTTGCGCAAGAGCCGTTTTGATTTCAGTGAATGCAGTACGTGCAGAATCGTTCATTTCCAATCTGCGTGGGTTGCCGCGTAGTAAGTCGGTTAGTGGTCGTAACCGTTCTGCCGCGTGTGGGATGAAACGACGGTAGAAGTTAACCAAACCGAGAAAAGCCTTCAGTTCCTTGAGTGAGGACGGCACGTTGTACTCCTTTATTGCTTGCACTTTGTCCTCACAAGGTAGAATACCCTCTTGCTTGATAACATGACCCAGAAATATGATTTCTCGTTTACCTAACTCGCATTTGTCTGGGTTAACTACTATTCCATTATCCGAAAGGCGTTGGAATAATAGCGTAAGATGTTGATAATGTTCATCTACGTTTGATGATGCGATTAGCAGGTCATCAATATAGACGTGAACAAAATCGAGGTCTCGTACAATGCTATCGATAAACCTTTGAAAAGTTTGAGCAGCATTCCGTAATCCAAATGGCATTCGTAGGAACTCAAACAAACCGAAAGGAGTCGTGATAGCAGTCTTTTCGATGTCTTCAAGAGCGACTGGGATCTGATGATATGCTCGTACCAGATCGATCTTAGAAAAGATAGTCGTGCCCTTGAGCGATGCCGTGATGTCGTGTATGTGGGGGATTGGGTAGCTATCAATGCGCGTAACTACGTTTATTATTATTATTATTATTAGAAGCTTTATTCAACATTATATTTTTGGTACAACATAGAATTCTCAGCATAAAGTATTTCAACAAGTTTCCTTTTCTTATACCTTGATCGATTGTGACGATAAATTTTGAATGATGACCAGTTAGATGTTAGAAGTTCGGTAATCCATATTTGATTACTGTTCATTTGTTTCAATGCATATTGCCAGCCACCATGATGTCGCTGATTGTACCTTTTTGTATCCCGTACAGCGAAAGGTTGTAAACTTTTCATAAACGCGCCTGAATAGGTTGTGCGCACAATAGACATAGTGATGTGCTAAAACAAACAACAAAACAGATAACTTGATGAAATATCTAGATCGGAGGAACAGGTAGCCCAGATATTCAAGCAGGCCGCTCGGTAGTCGCCGCATAGTCTCCAACTAACCCCATCTTTTTTGCGCACCATGTGAAGAGGAGAGGCCATGGACTGTGAGAAGGACGAATAATACCAGTAGCTAGTAAATTGTCAAATTCACGCTTAGCAAAAGCTAATTTGTCCGGTGCCAGTCGGCGAGGTCGTGCCGCGACTGGCGGTCCGCGGGTGACTATGTGGTGTACCACACGATTGGTCAGCGATGGAAGCTCCCGAGTGGTTAGTGAGTACGGGGGATTTCTCGAATAAAGCGTGGAATTTATCGTCACGCGAGTAAAAAGTGCCGAGGATTCGGTATGCGTTCATGTGGGCTTTGCAGCCCATGAATTTGCTGTTCGACGAAGTATCGATTAGCTGCAGGTTGATCGCGAGTTGTCGTGTACCGTAGGTAGGAATGACTGAGCCGTTCGCAGCGCGTAGTCGAATCACTGTGGCTTGTGACTTGCTGCTACCTCGTGGTACGACAGAAACTTGGGCCCCAGTGTCTACTAGGAACCTAGCGTTTGTGCGGTAATTGTGCACATAGAATAGGCGACCAACCTGGGGTGAAGAGCCGGCGAGTACGGCCGCTTTTACTCGCCGGCGCTGGCGTTTCCCGCCTTGTATAAGCATGGTGCTCGACAACGGCGGTCGCCAGACCCGAAGGACCTATGGAACCAGCACCAACTGTTACTCGCTTCCGTAGCCGCCTTTCGGCGTGGATTGGAAGGTGCCCATTTTGGGAGAGTGGTGACGTGTTTGCGAGAACTTGAGCGAGCTCGGGGGACGTAGGGTTGGGGTACGTTACAACGGTCTCGAAAAATAAGACGTGTGTGAATACACCCGTCCCTGTCGCCATTAGCTGAGGAATGACCGGCGTCCAAGTCTACTTTAGGACGTGCCGTTGAAGCAACTACATAGCTGTCTCTATTACTAGTCCTCGCTAAAATTTTGTCTGCTATGAGGGCTACCTGGTTAAGCAGTGAGTCCTCGAACAGTGCCGTCACAGTAGGTTGGATATGAGCTGGTAGTGACTCGAGCCACAATTCCTTAACTATTTCCGAGTCAGATGCTGTTGATCCTGCAAGAGATTGCAGGCGCGTAAGGTGGTGGCTTGGTTTAGCATCACCCAGGGGATGACGTGCTAACAGTGACCTCAATCGTTCCTCCCTCGATGGGAGGAAATGTCGGAGAATCGCCTCTTTGAGGCGATCATAAACATTAGGCACGTTAGAATTGAGGACAACCTCACGAACAGCTACTAAGTGGTCCCCGGGTAATGATTCGAGAGCGAAGGCGTACTTTTGCCTTTGGCTCGTAATGCGACGAGTCTCAAACTGGGACTCTAATGCAGCAAACCAAACCTCTGGGTCGTGGTAGATGAATGATACAGGTCGAAAGTGAATGGCCTGCACGTCTGAGTCTATAACATTAATAGAATTCTTGTCGCTATCCGTCATGTCGTGTATATTATATATTAAAAATTAATATGAAAATACACGACAGACGCGGATAGATAAACTATAGACTCACCGAATTGGCTTCTTTGGAAGATTTCGCCAGAGGTTGAGGCGTGTTCCAAACTTTGGGATCACCAATTGTAGCGTGGCGTCGAGTTGAGATTAACTATGAACACCGCTACCAAAAAACACGTGCCAAGTTAATCAAAAGGCGAAGGTTGGACGTAACCAAATAAATCCATAAAATCTCCGAGAAGCCAAATATCAGAAGACAGTTAATGGACCAAATCGAGATATATATTTGCTGGCGATCTCGTGGTATCGAAAGGATACCGAGATCGTGCCAGGATACAAGCTTGGTTACAGAACGTAACCGAATTCGCGTGAAGTTACAATCAAAGTGTAAGTAAAAGAATGGGAGCAAAATATAGCTGTCATTAGCACTGTTAAACAAAAGCACATTAAAACAAACACTGGTACAGTTGGTTATAATAATAATTGTTTATATTAAACCAGTCGTGTTCTCGTGATAAATGTGAGTCACTACAGATGAGTCAGAAATATTCCCGATTTTCTGGTGTTAAAACCTCCGCATCATGAGCCAGTAATGTCTCCTATATTCGTCTCCTTTCATAGAGAAATATACAGACCTTCTGACGTGTTTGTAAGTTTGCTTGTTCTTTTCTTAGATACTCACGGCGTTGGGGCCTCTACCCACGAATTCTTGGAAACCTCTCAATTTGTCAATATAAGTTCACTTTGTGTTCTCGGTTTATATTAGCAGAAAAGGTTTAAGACCTGTGGCTAACTTTGTCCCTATCAGCAGTCAAATGTGTCGGCCTACTCACTAAAACACTGAACAGTTCCTTTGACTAAGTATTTTAGATTAGGTCTCATATGTGCACTATGTAGTAGTGCTATGCCACTGAAGATTTGTAATGACTCATTAGGGTAAAATATAGGCGTTGAAAACCTGTTTATCGACAAAATAATGTTGCTAAAATGCCGAATGAATTAGACATTGTTCCTCATGTCTTCGTAATGTGCTACATTTGTTTGGTTGCATCGGTTCACTAAACTCTGTGGGCAGTATGAATGTTGCACTAGTTGTTATCTAAGCCATCAATTCTATCCTTTAACACCTTACTCAGTCGAATGTTGGCATCTCTGTCAATCATCGAATCATGCTTTCACGACCCAAAAATTAATGGCTATCTTTTGCGAACTGTCTAGGCAATAGTAAGCCAACTATTAACCTACATATAGCTCTATTTGATATGGACCAACCACCTATCCGAATATTGAGACGACCATGTCCAGTTCCATCTGACGTTCCTAATACACCACAGAGGTTAGCAATTTTGTGAAAACTTTCATATTTGTAGGCCACCGATAGTCACAAAAACACTTGAACAAAGGGAAGCAGACTATGCTGCTGCTCGGAAAAGGATCATGGGGTCGGCCACTCCGGAGTCAACTAAGGTAGAGACTACAGAGTTAATAGAGTAAGTGTAACGGTCTTGTGACAGTAAAATTTAACAAAGTAATTTTAGTAAGCAGTACTGCTAAACTTTTTCAGATTTCATAATTGCTCTGTGATACTCCAAGTTACATTAAAGATGCGTTTCTCCCACTTCCTACTTATTCATGTCCCTTCTTGGAACAGGTTAAAGCTTCGTGTTGATTCTTTCCTAGTTCACTTCTGCATGCGTATAGTCCTTTGGAAGGGTCGTCCTGACAGGATCTTCAGGTCTGTGTACACGCAATATAGCGATCTATCCCCTTCCTTTGTCTAGTATGAACCATAGGAGATCTAACTCTTCTACTTTAATTTCATGCATGACGAGTAGCTAGGCACTAAACATTCCATCATGATGTAAACGTCTCAAGTTTCTCCGCCATAAGTGTTCCTGACCGAGTTTTGCGACTTGTACAGTTCGTTAGTGTTAAGTAGGTTACATCGGTCTGCCTTAAGGTTCGACGGGAATTTGTAGTCCTCAAACCTAGTCACGGCTGTACATCAGGGACTGGTTTTCAAGCCATAAGTTGCCATGATCCTTTAATCATTGAATATAAGCTGGATATGAATATCTTAACACCGACGAACGTGCTAAAAATTGCTGGTAATCCGCTTGTTAACAGAGTTTATCTGCAGATATCATTCATTAAGTATCCACTCAGCCACTTTATAAGTTCATATTTCTTGTGATAAAGACGGACACATTGATGAAGTCTTGATACATGGTTTTGTGATTATCCATTTCAACGTATCAAGAGGTCTTGACAAGCTTGTACTAACCACCTCATATAAAGCTTTCCATAGACTAGGTTTCATCGGGTAAAAATTAATAATGTAGACCCCTAGATAGTTTTTTTGTTCGGTGATAGTTTATTGAGTTGCACCGAAAGTACAGTTTTCTGGATGTAATGCAGTAACCCCCGAATCACTTGAGTGGTCAGTCCTCCTTCTGGAAATGCTCGCATATGAATACGAGCACACAGAAACTATCAGGAAAGTCCTACACATTGCCTTCTCGCAGTGTTTACAAAATTGAAAGGACGGGAGCGGATGTCCCACACTAACCCAGTTCGTGGGTACGAAAGATCCGCGTAGAGAATTTGGAAAATTCTGATCCGAAACCACATGGGCGTATAAACCAATTATTGGTTAACGGCTACCATTGGACTGCATCTTCTAGTGCTGCTCCACTGGCTTGTGTATTATACCTTCGGTTCGAAAACTCGGGGTATGGCCCCGTGAAAAACCACCTGCTTCGGTTAAGACATCCCGACAGTGTCCCACCGCTCACACAAATCGAATGGTTTGTGTGACGAACGTATTTGATGCTTCATCGTGCCAATATTCTTGTTTAAATAAATAAATAAATAAGCATTCCCAAATAATGTAAATTCTTAAGAATGTTCGTGTAGTTATTCCAAAATTGTGTTCATAGGATTCCACATAGAAGTTGCTACCGTGTGATCTCTGTTGAAATTTTCTTAAGTACATAGGATTTGTGTAATTACTTGTTTACAAATCTGTCAGGTTTAAAGACCCACTAATCTTCGTACTTAGTAGGTTTTTTCAGACGAGTAGTATGCTTCGTATCTTACGCAAACTAAAGCAATTTCATAAACTCCGTAAGTTTTTTCAGTGGTTGCAAATGGATGTTCTCATTTGTCATATTTTACCGTTTTGTCTTTAATTTCGTTTTATCTCTTGATGAAGGTCTTGTCCAGTGAAAATGACAGACGATACCAACAGTGTTATTACAAAACAGGATAAATCAATTGCATCCACCATTCCCACGACTCAGAACATGGAGGTTAGTGTTCAAAGTAACTCTTCGGAAATGACAGCCAGTCACTTGTTCACTAACCACAGCGGAGTTCAACTTTCCATGTCCCAGAGTAACAAACAGACTCTGGATATCGGTGTTGGTCGAAAGCCTCAACAACATTCACATTCTACATCAAACGGCGTTCGGCAGAATTTACAACAGCGCAGTGCAACAGTGACTGCCAATAGATTATCTTATATTCCTCCCCATCCTCCTCTTTTTTCTTTTCAAACTGGGTACAATAATGTTGGCCTTCTTCCTACTCCGCCTGGCTTTCAATGTTCACTTCCAACTGAGACGAATGGTAGTCTGCAGCAAACGACTGCTTTCGCTTTGATGCACCAATTTAGTTTACTACAACAACAATATCAGCATACTTTAACTGGCATTCAAAAACAGTTAGTTTCTTCTGGATCGCACTCGTCCAACAGTTTTAATCCTTTGAACTTTTCATCGTTTTCCCAGTCTCACATCAACCAGAAGTAAGTTTCATCAACATTTTTATCTTGTACACAGAAAATAACATCGTTAGTTGACTTCTGTGATTGGTTATAAGTTGCACTTATTAGCTACCTGCCGTCAAATAAGTTTATTTTTTTCACAAAACAGTTGTTACTATAGTCTCTGAGAATTGAGTATTCTATGTCCATACCATATGGTACAAAATCTTATTCTATGAAACCTAATCTGAGGGAAACACCTTTCTTTTACATATTTACGTGCTCTTAAATTCATGATTTCAACACATGTTTGTTAACATTTTGTTTTCAGATATACCCACCCTTCAACTTTCAATTGATTTAAATTTGCAATAGTCAGCGTGCGAATGCGTACTTTTTTCCGTTTCGTAGACTTAATGTAATAACTTTAACCACTCTCTGCTTTTGATAATTTTGTGGTCTGGTGCCATACTCAGCTTGTGCCGTGACATTTTGTCAACATACATATTCATGTTTCTGTATAAATAAAGTGCTTATAAAACAAATGGCATGTTTTTCCGTGCATATCTTCAGTATCGAATGCGTTCTCCGAACACATGTTGCTTTAATTGTTCCTTACACTGGAGCTAAGAATTGTTTTTCACATACAGGTGTTCTCAATTTGTGCAATCACATAGTCCCCATTGCGTAGTGAAAATAAATCTTTTGGAATGGTCGATTGTTCAATGGCTTTATAACTGTAGGGTGTTTGTGTTCAGCGTCTGTGATCGTCAGTTTATTACTTAATCTATTTTTGCCGCTTACTAGAATTTTCCTTTAATCTTCATACCGTTTAATATAAAAAGCTGGGAACATGTGCACCACTTAACTTTCCAATGCTTAGAGACTGCTACAAAGCAAATGAAGCACAGCACATTTAAATATGCTTGGATGTAGTTCTTAATACTGAGGCGCTGAACAGTTATGATTTTCAACCATTACTTCGTAACTTTTCATGACATAGCTCAAGTGAATCTATCTTCTCTTTGATCTTGAGTTTATGAATTACCGACGTCAAGTTCTTCGTTGTGTTTGACTGAAAAACTGGTTAGTCTCTGACTGTTAATCGGTGTCGTGGAAGTTCAAACCAACCTTTGACGATATCAGAGTCTACCAATCTTTCTGAAGATTCTCACTACTGACCAGCGTCTCAAGGGATACGATCCCAATGTACATCAGGTGATTTCCTGCTAATAATGGTTGGATAAACCATCACTAGCACTCATTGACTGTTTTGTTCTGTAACTCCCACATACCTCAGATTTCGTATAGTTATGAAGTAATAACTTGTAGCCATGTAGTTGTGCACAACTATGGACGTATCATTAAAGTTTCTCAGTACTTCTACTTGTACTACTAAGTGCCGAATTATCAGAATCCGTACGAACATTTGGCAGTTTTGTGACTAGGCCCAAGTTTTTTGCTAACCACCGGAAGCCTTATCAGTTATGCATTCTTTAATACTGGGTCAAAAATTCTAGGTTTGTGTAACTGGCCCGGTGGTCATACCCACCCAACACTAGTGTCCAATCTGGCCGTTGTATCTCTTAGGTTCTACTTCCGAAAAAGTCATCTCCAAAGCACTAAATCTTTGGGAAAGACCGCATGGTATCTGGGGTCTGCTGGATTGGTCGGTGCTAGAAGACTGACCCCATGCCCCGAATATTATAAGTTGCAAAGACAAACGTAAACCAACAACGAGTCTGCAGTAATTGTGACAAGTGATGGGGTGAGAAAAATGGAAAAGGCATCGACGGTCAGTAACGCCAAACAACCCAAGCCTATCGGACAAATATTCGAAAATCCAGTGAGAATATCTCTGACGAATTCCGCACCGTGACCTCAACCCAGATGATGGGAACGACAGACGGAGCACCTGAGTAGTTCAGCTGGCCTCCGGCTACCTACTATTAACAGAGAACGTTCATAGGAACTGAACATAAGTACATAGCTAAGGACGTTAAGAATGCTATAGCCAAGCTGAAGTAAAAGTACGGAATCATGGTGAACTAACTTCGATATTGTTATGATTTTATGTCCGGATTTTATCGCGTGATTTATCCACCAATCAAAATACGACTTATACAATCTTAGCACTGTGCCAAAACAATGACGTTCGACCGGTATGAGCAATCTAGCGTCCTTATTGATCCTATATCCTCCTAGCCCGTCCACTTGAGTCCAGAACAAAATACCAGCTTCTGTAGTATGAATCGAATCGTTTATTTCAGACATACTCGGTTTATAAATCAATCAAACAGACCACAACGTACCATAAAATAGAAAATAACATTTGGCCAAATGTGGCTGTGAACGTGGGAGGCAGTAGTCAATAAACTGAACATAGCTTAAGAACCGCAATCCGTACAATAATAAATTGTGGATCAAAATAAAGCTTATAAGAAAAGGAATATAAATATGCGTAATCTAATTATTGAATAGTTGCACCATAAGAATAGATAGATAATATTAGTCAATTAACCTGTCTCAGAAGTTACTTGTAATTTAATCTTCGCTCGGATATAACATATACACATGGGGATAGCAGTCCAGCTTTACCGGTTGGCACCAGTCAGTCGCATGCAATATGAAAGCTGACATGTATTTGGCTCAAGTTACCATTCCTTACCAGCATACCGAGATAAAGCTACTACAACAAATGACAGTAACGCATCGGAATCAGTACAAACAGAAAAATATAGGTCTAGTGAAATGTCTAAAAAGGTTTCGGGACTCAGTTTCTAGGAGTAATGCACCTACACCATTGTAAACGATTATAAGCCATATCACCCGGAATTTCCAATCACTTGTTACGATAATCGCGTGGATCTGAACAAGTTAGTCTGCACTTAAATATACGCTTCTGTCCAACAGTCATAGGACCCATAGACTTATGCTGTCTTAGTTTGGCCTCGTCAAGTTACCAATCTGCTCTTACACCAGAAATCATCGCGCGGCGAGGTAGGTGGTGGCTAGACGTATGCAATATGTCCCAACCATCGTAATTGACGAAGATTCGCAAACTCACCTACCGGTTTCCATCTATACCTAGTACTCTGTATCTAACCTCAGAATTGCTAACTCGATAGTCCTAAGATATACTAGCAATGGTTTGAAGGCATGTTTGATCGAATACTGACAACCTACAAATTCAAAGTTCATGTTTCTTATTAGCAAAGCCAACCGCTGAGCAACAAACTCGTCCTTTCTTTGACAGATGGATATCTCACCTAGTCTACAGGTGACCCAAATTGATGAAGGTTAACCGAGCTTTCTGATTCCCTGTCGACATTTCGTCGGAAACCAAACCCTCAAGGCTAATGAAACTTCGACAATAAGTGAAGCTCAAATACTGTATTCCCTTTTGCCAATTCAGACGTTGTTGTAGACCAATCCTGAAGCAATAGTTTGCATTTATAGTGAGAGGAACGCATTCCAAACACGCATTGTTGCTTCAGGTGGTTGGAAGACCCTTTACCAAAATTAGATCTATGAAGAAATTAAAAAGACAGTTAGTGGATAAACATGACGAATACCACTCAATATTAACAGTACGCCGTAAGCTCATACTTAACTTAAAGTATTTGACAAAATTCTATACTAGTTTAATGTACTTCTTCGGTGTGCTATTCAATGGCAAACTTCGACACAGATAATCTCGTTCTGCAGAGTCAAGTCAGTCAGCTACAACGTAGAACCAGTCACATACATGCATCGGTCCAAGTTGCCATACCTCATTAACACAACAAGATGGACACCGGATTCATAAAAGTAATTAATTCAGTGGTGGTAATATATTAAAGTTTGCAATAAGGATATAGTACGGGAAGAAAGAATTGGTTCGTAGAAAGAAAGATATGAAGTGATTTTAATCTCTTAGTTTAAGGGAAGACAGGGAGTGTACACACCGACGCCATTGTGATCGATTCTGAGCCATGTCACCCAGAGTCTCCAAATATCGGTTACGAAAGTCACGCGGACCCCAACCAAGTAGTCTGCATCTACCAACATGGCTCAGACTAGAAGTAAGTGACTTCAAGCACTGATGGCACGTTTTGGTTTGGCCGCCCCTAACTTTCTTCCAACCATCCGGAACACCAGTTAGCATTGCACGTCGTGGTAATCGGTGTTCAGGCATACGTAACACGTGGCCCAACCATCTCAGAGTCAATTACTGCCTTTGGGTTAAGAAATACTACTGTAGCCAGATATCGGGAAGTATGTCTTTTCTAGAACCTGACGATGGGCGAATATTCTGTCTACACATCACCGGCCACGTCTGAAACCAGATGAGCTTCCGAATTGTTGAGTTGAATAATTTTGATACTATATATGTAGCGGACGGTCAATATTGATACATGGCTAAGTGTCTTATTTCCTACTTATCATCAAAACGATTGTTTATAATATTCCCCTTCATTATGGATCAATATGATTGAAAATTAATTCACATTACAGTATCGTTCTGCTTCTTCTATATCGATAAGTTACATACATATTTTCCCTGTATATTAGTAATATTTGAGAATTTTATATTTATGAATATACTTCAGAGACAGTTGAATTGTGATATCATAATCTATCAATAAAGACCATAAAAACATATTCTTTGGAGATTCAATGAATATCTGGATTTTCGTAGTTTACATTACGTCTCCAATAAAAATTAGTTGAATTGTATGATAGACTCAGTACTGGAGGTAGCTTCCGTATAATCTAGAAGACTGAAGTCTAGAATTAACATTTAGACCAAGGACGTACTTAGATAGGTCTTGAAACTGTATTCCATCAATATGGGAGTATGTACAGTAAGGTAATCATTATCCCTTAAGTGCGAAATGATTCGGCTGACGCTATTCAGCAAAATCCTTGAAGATAGTCAGGAAAAATCTCGACGATAGTATGGAACCTTTTCAGACTCTAATCACTTAATATCCGAACAGACCTTTCATTTTGATGGTTTTGCTAATGTTTGGTATTTTTTCGCTCCATAGCGAGTTCATCTTCTTCCCTAACTAGAATTTTAGAATATCGTAGCAGAAATGAATTGACATCAATTTTCAAGGACCTAGCAGAATTTCGAACATTAGAATACGGTGTCTGAACAGTGACCAGATAATCGCAATTTCCAACCAGTTACCAACCACGTTATCAGGATATTTTTCAGAAGTAACCATCTTACTTTATTCATTATTAAATTTCTAGCCCAATTATAGATGCCCTAATCTTGATAACCAGAAACTCGAAAATCATGTATTTAGAATTCCTGTCTTTAATATACAAACTGCGATATCCGAAAAAACAAATCCTGTGTCCACCACTAATCATACATTTTCTGGAATAAAGAAAGCATTGGATGTACATTAGTATCAAGATATTATTGTGAAATCCTAAATACAATCCTTATTTTCATATTCAGTAAAAAAAATTGCGACTTAGTGAGACAAAGATCCAATATGACCGAGACTTTCATTTGGAATTTGGCATTACGATCTCGA